AGCTTGAGAAATGCTGAGCGTGTTCTTCCTTTTTGGTTTTCTGATTCCAGATCTTTGCACATTTTGTTGTAATATTTGGCTTTATCTTCTCGAGCCAAATATCTTCCTTGTAGGCATATAGATATTATCCCATCACAGACAACATTGCACTTTAAGACAGATCTTGAAATGTTTTTTTTTTGATGATGAATGCAATGCCATTCCTTTTCAACTTTTCGTTCCAAGCATAGTAAACCATGTGATTGTCAGATTAAAAATGACCAGTATCAGTCCCTTTCAGCTCACTAATGCCCAAGCTATATATTTCTATGAATTCCATTTCATTTTTGATAATTTCCAATTTTCCTAAATTTATATTTCATACATTTCATGTTTTGTTTGTTAATGGCTATTTGCAGCTGTTTCTCCTCATTTTGAGTTGTGCCCCATCAGCAAATGAAGGTCCTGAGAGCTTTACTCACTGGAGTCACCATGATCAACTCTACTATGAGGAGGCAACTCTTCCCCAGTTGTATTTTGAATGCCTTCCAACCTGAGGGTTTCATCTTCTGGCACAATATCTGACAATATTCTGGTGCTCTTCATCATGTTTCAGTATTCTATATTCTCGTGCTGACAGTGTTTCACTGTGATTCATAAGGTTTTCAGTGACTAAATATTCAGAAGTAGTCTGTCTCCTTCTTCCTCATCCGTCTTTATCTGGAAGCTCAACTGAAACCTGTCCACCATGAGTGGCCCTGCTTGTGTCTAAAATGCTAGTGGCATAACTTCCAGAATCACAGCAACACACAAGCTACCACAGTACGACAAACTCACAGAGGGATGTGGGGGTTTCTCCTTAGGGTACATTAAAAAAAAAATCCAGTCAAGACAGTGGCTTCTGAAGACATCTACTTAGCCAAGATCAAGAGTTCACTTAAAAGGTTATGGCAACTGTATTTGGAGATTCCAAAGGTGTCATCCTGACATATTTTCTCAGAAGACTCAAGATGATCATGAGGGTTTATTAAGAAGAAGTTTGAAAAATTTTCAAAGAATTTTCCCCCTCATGTCAAGGGGAGCAAGAGCTGTCTTACAAAAATTTCACTGAGAAATCTTACCCCATCCACCCTACAGCTTCTATCCTGCCCCTCAAGCTTATTTGTTTATTTGGATTTAAATTGTCTTTATTTAGCATGCCAATTTTATCCTGGTAATAAATTGATACAGTTATCAAAAAACATTGGGCACTTTCCAACAGAACTGCTTCTGGGTGTGTACATCAAAATATATGTAGAACCAGCTGTCTGTCATTTCCAACTCCAAAATGTGGCATCGTCAAAGCTTTTGAAGTATGCACTGCCTCACTGTAAATCACAGTTTGGTTTTATAAAGGTTTCAATTGCCATTTCAGTTCCTGCAAGTTACCAAATCAACAACATAGAACTGACAGCTTAAAACTCACCTGAAGAAAAACAAACCAAAACTCACCTGATCCCGGCTCTGAATTCTCCAGATGAAGGACCTTGTGAGGATCACAAAGCCAATAAGAGAACCTGGGTTGCAAATCCCTTGTAAGTGCTCCATAAACACACACTGGGTTAAATAAGGCAAAACCATTGCACAAAATTGTAATTCATACTTGAAAAGATCCTGTTTCCTTTTCTGCTTAACAAGGGGTTGAATCCTGACGTGTTGTTTTTTGGGAGTTCACAAAGTTAGTGACTCAGTTGCTCTGGAGACAAAAATCAATACCTTTGTTGCAGCTTATCAATGAACACCGATTCTTAGTGCTGTTGGTGCCTTTTTTCCTGGGATGTTGACACCTGGGCAATTTTTCTTCCTGTTCTGTGCTCAGAATACAGCTACACTGAGAGCGTATCTTGTTTGAAATCCAACATCTGCAGAAGGCACTGATACGTTATTGATACCTACAAAAACCATCCACATTTGAGTCTACTTCTCTTCATCCCAGCCAGTCATCATTTCTGGTTCCAACAGCATCTGCAGAACAGTTGTGGATTACTTCTGGGTACCAGAGTCCTATCAAGAATGTGCCAACCGATGCTTCTGGCGAGATTCCAAGCATTCTGGCAGACAACTTGCAATGATTTAATGTTTCAGCAAAAATGTGCCAACCAAAGCTTCTGGTAATGTTCCAAGAATTCTGGCAGACAACTTCCAGTGATTTACTGTCTCAGCCTAATGGTCAAACACAGTCATACTGCTGACAAGTTAAAAAACAACAACACTAGGCGCGGAGGTCTCTAGGACCATCAACGGAGAAGAGCCAAGAGCGGGACCCTACCCAGAGAAGCAGAGACGCCTGAGATGGAGACAGAGACGATGACGTGAAGTAATGAAGTGGCTGGGGACTTTGGATCCAGAGAGGGAAAGGGACTGTGGGCTGAAGACTGAGGGGGGGAGGGGGGAGTGTAGGGGGCAGGTTTCTAGGATCTACCCTTTGATCAGTTGATGATGCATGGAGGGGATTGGAACCATGGCAATGAAATGATATATGATGGAATGAATGTAAAACTAAAGTTCTCTCATGTAAACTATCATATAATTCACAATAAAACATTAAAAACAACAACAACAACCACAACCATTTACTTGTTTTGACTGAACCCTCTGGTAGGTGTGTGCACATTAACCCATCAGTTACGGAATATTCACCTCTGGTAAGCCTTTTTTTAACGTTAGCTGCTAGACAAGAAGGCTTTTTTTTACAAAGAAGCAAAACCAAAAAACCCACACAATCTGTATGTTGTTGTTGTTAAGTGCTGTTGAGTCGATTCCAACCCATAGCGACCCTGTCTAGGGTTTCCAAGGAGCAGCTGGTGAGCTTGAACCACAGACCTTGCAGTTCAAACGACTTTGCAGTCTGACGCATTAGCCCACAGGTAATTCTCAAATTTCCGTATGTGATTCTAATGTTTACCACTCCTAAGAGCAAAGGGACGTTTAGTGGTCTATATTTATGTATTTATTTTTCTCCAGGGCAACATTTATCTTCTAGAGCTTACGTCTGGTTTCGTTGTAAATTATAAATCCATTAGATATTCCCTCCATGGGCAGATTTATTCAGAAAATGCCTCTTATTTTCAAGTTTCTCTTAAGGTGAGTTATTATAGATGCTCCATCTTTCAGGAGTAGTAATCTGATAATATACTAAGTGATGTCAAATTTCAATGGAATGGCTAATTTTAATCATCTTAACTACCAGGTCAAAAGTAAAATCCCATTTTTGTTAAGGAATGCTAATAACTTTGAGGTAGATGATGCTGTTATTAAATATTGAAGCAATTTGGTTCAAGATATAAAAATAATGAAACTGAGGGTTGCAATTCAGTCGTAAACATGAAAATCAGACATGTCATGTCATAGGTGGCTTCTTTAATTGATGAAGAATTTGGCTATTGATTTAGAGGATCCTCAGTCTGATGGAACAGCAAGTCACAAAACACCCCCATGAAGAGGCCTGTGATTTTTCCATCCTGGCTTATTCCTAACTGTTCAAGAATTGGACCTCTCAGGGCTTCCTCCGCCCCACACATACACTTTGTCATAAATCACTTTCATCATGAGAGAGCAGCTAGGACACATTGTCACTTCTTTACCAGTCTCCAAATCCTCCTTAGTGATACAGAAGTTATCAGCACATGGGCAGGGGTAGATCTAGGATTCCGATTCCTCATCGTATTGGAAATCCTAGATCTCCACCTCAGCGTGAAATACTGCCACTATTGCTGGGGTCTCATACAGCCTCCACCTGTCTCAATCCTCAAGCTTATTTTTGTTCAAACAGCTCAATGGCTGTCCTACAAGAACATTATCAGAAAATCTTACCCTATCCACCCTGCAGCCTTGATCTTTCCCCTTCCGACTTAGTTTTGGTCTCAACAAATATTTAAAAGAAACTCAATGAATATTTAAAAGAAATGCCACTTGAGTGCCTTGAGGAGGCCCAAACTGCCATTTTGATATGTGGTATCCATAGAAGAGTACAGAATTCTTTGGAGAGGGGTCATAGAGATAGACACACTGCCTTCAGAAGTGTATAGGCCTCCAGGGAGGGTGTGTTGGAATACAGAAAAAGTACACAATTGATCGCCTTACCCCACAATGTTTTTCAATTTCACATTTTCTTTTCTTACCTGACTTTGGGTAAGTGAGGTTAATGACATCTCCATCCCTCACCACAAATTCATCCCGCAAGAACTTCAAGTTTTCAGTACTTTGTACATATTTGGGGAAAAGTATGCCGTCAACATGCAAATAATTAGTAGCCATCCCAAAGATAACTGCCAAGCTTGATCTTACTGTTCCAGTGATAGAAGACGCTGGTTCTCAGGTCTGGTGCTGTTGGAGACACTTCTTTAAGAAAAATCTGAGCTAAGTTGAAATGATAGAGAAATTATACAGAATCAGGAGTTGCTGACGTTTCCTTCCCGGTTTCCAGTTGTACAAATGGGTGCCTACTGATATAAATCTCTAGCCAATGAGAGTTCATTTGAATACGTATTCGTTTACTCAGTACTTTCTGAGAGTACAAGGTCTGTAAGTAAATACATAACCAAGCAAATAACAAAATGGATTAATTAATGTTGAATGTACCTTCAAATCAAAGAGATTTTGAAATCATGAGTGTTATCTTGATGTTCGTATTCCCTGTCCTGTAATTGTCATAATTCTTTGGACATTTTTTCCTAGAATACTCAGCTCTTAATTGGCAAAATATTTTTTCCAACACATAATGGTTTTTCTATAGCACATAAAAACAGTGACTCTAATCTTAGCCACTGGACCAATACAATAAACAACATCATGATCAATTGAGAAAAGATTAAAATTGTCAAAAATTTCATCTTACTTGATTTCACAATCGGTGCTCATGGAAGCAGCAGTCAAGACATACTGCACTGAGAAAATCAGCTGCGAAAGACCTCTTTCAAGTGTTAAAGAATAAAGACGGCACTTTGAGGACTAAGGTGGGCCTGGCCCATCTGCATGTGAAAACTGAACAATGAATAAGGAAGACTAGAGAAGAATTTATGCCTTGGAATTCTGGTGTCAGCGAATATTGAAAATAGCATGGACTGGCAGAGTCAACAAATTTGGCTCGGAAGAAATGCAGCCAGATGCCCTTCAAAGCAAGGACTTTGTCTCACATACTTTGGACATGTTATCAGGAGGGAGCAGTCCCTGGAAAAGGACATCATGCTTGGGATGGTAGAGGGTCAGCAAAAAAGAGGAAGACCTCCAATGCCATGGATTGACACAGTGGCTGTAAGAATGGGCTCAAACATGGCAATTGTGAGGATGGTTTCGGACTGGGCAGTGTTCCACTGTGTCGTGCAGACGGTCACTATGGGTTCAAATGGATTCAATGGCACTTAATAACAACAACAGCAATCGTGGGCATAGTTTAGATGAATATATATTTAATCTGGAATAAATGAACAAGTCATCTTAACATATGTATCTCTAACTATGTTGATAAAATTGGGAACTCTGGTGGTGTTGTAGGATAAGCACTGGACTGCTAACATCAAGATCATTGGTTCAAGCCCACTAGCCACTCCAAAGAAGAAAAATGAGGCTTTCTACTCCAGTAAAGATTTACAGCCTTGGAAACCCTAATCTTAAATAGGCTGCTACTTCATTGACTTGCTTAATTTTTCTAATTCTAACCATTTCTGGGTTTGGGGATTCTGAGATCCATGGAGGGGAACCTGGTTCAGATAAACCTAAATAACAATGGAAAGTCATAGGGCAGCTGGTTTACATAATTACTTCTACACCAGAAGGACTTAATCGTTGGTTCAAGGTAATGATTGACTCCGGATATTTTAACATGAAGTTTCTTCCCTCAAATTTTGTAACATTTAATAAAAAGTGGCTGTATTTAACATGGAGGAACATACTTGTTGTTGTTAGGTGCCATCTAGTTGGTTCCAACTCATAGTGACTCTATGCACCACAGAAAGAAATGCTGGTTCTGCGTAATCCTCACAGTGGTTCTGTGTTTGAGCCCATCATGGCAGCTTCTGTGTCCATCTGTCTTGTTAAGGGTCTTCCTCTCTTTTGACTCACCCTCTACTTTTCCAAGCATGATGTCTTTCTCCAAGGACTGATCCCTCTTGATCACATGTCCAAAGTACATGAGACAAAGTCTTGGCATCCTTGCTCCTAAGGAGCATTTTGGGTGTATTTCTTCCAAGACAGGTTTGTGCATTCTTTTGGCAGTCCGTGGTATATCGAATATTCTTTGCCAACACCATATTTCTTTCTTTCTTTTTTAAACAACTCTTCATTGTGAATCGAGTGAAGGTTTATGGAGCAGATCACCAGTTTTACATTCAACGAATCATACACTGCGTTTCATTCCAATGATCAATCCCCTCCATGTAACTAACATCAGTTTTCCCACTGTCTAGAGCCCACCCTCCTTCCCAGCCCTTGGAATTTTGTCCCTAGGGAAATGCTGCCTTTTTTATCTTGAATGGTGGACTATTCTATATAAGGGTCTGAGTCCAGCTCAAACCTTTTCGTGTGTGGTTTCGAGGGAGAGCGCGAGGATGAGAAAATTATGTACAAAAGAAAAAAAATCCAGGCAAGGATCAAAAGCTGATGGCTAGTGACCAAGTTCATTGAAAGCAAGACGTTTTTATAGAGCAGTTTCTGCAAGTCAGCTTTGTTCTGCATAGTTACAAGTTTATCTTTTACTGTGAGCCAGGCAACCTTGGAAAAGCTGCTTTCCCTGCATGAATGTCTTTTGCTGTGAGTCATGTGAACTGGGAAAGTTATCTTCCCTGTGTTGAATAAGCAGGCTTTGTCTGGTTG